CATTTGATTCTACTTCTAGATTTATAACCTTTCTTAATACAAAATAAAAGTAATTCAGAAAATTACAAAATCTAAAGGTATATACCAATTATTATACATTACCAGTCTAGTCAAGAAACAGAATGGAATAGTTGTACTTTTTTAAGAAATATTTTTTCTGTTGAAAGGTCATGGGAATATCATATCATATTCTTAAAGTGTATTTGGTTTTTCAATTAAGTTCTATAATCCACCTGGAATTAATTTTACTATATAATGTGAGATAGGAGTCAAGTTTTACTTTTTTCTCAATAGATACCTAGTAATTATAGCAAAATTTATGGAAAGGATAGTTGTGGCATGGTCTGTTTGTGGGCCCTCTATTCTGTTCTATTAGTCTTTTTATACACTAAAACAAGTTCTGTAACTTTCCTCAACATTGCTTTGCTATTAGTAGCCCTTTATATTTCCATGTTATCCTACCCATCCACATGAATACACACAGTACATACATAGATACATGTATCTTTTAGCATATTTATTGGAAAGGACATGGGTTTTGGCTTTAGTCTTGGGTTCAAATTGTAGCTACATTTTGTGTACTGATAATTCAGATTTGGACAAATCACTTAATCTCATTGAAGCACAGTTTTGCAATTACAGATTGGGATGATAATCTCTTGTTGTTAGGATTAAATAAAATAAGGCATGAGAGTGCTTAATATAGTACCTGTTTCTCCTTATTCACTTAGTGAATGATTTCTGTCCTTAATGGTGTCTACTTAAATTTGTCTGGAATTTTGAGTTTCAATCTATTAGGTAAAGGCAACTAGGATTTCAGTGAGATAAGACTCAGAATATAGGTATACAGAGAACAGTTCATATGTGAGACGACTACTAGCTCTTTCTTGTCTCCATTTGTGGGATTTTAACCTTTGGGAATCCATAGCATTTTTTCTCAATTACAATTAAAATTTTTTTGTGTTATTCATAGCTTATGTCAATATTTCTTAATTTAAACTCCTTAACTTATAGACTTCAGCCAATTTTCTTTTTAAAATGAATTAAAGCATATATTAAAAATTTTTTTGAGTAGCATTAAAAAACCTAACTTTTTTCATAATACTTGTCAAATAAGCATATTTAATGAGGAAAAATGTACTTGATGATGTCTGAATTTTCCCACCTGTTAAAGATCTTTGACATATGTAATCCTTGGTCTGTAAAAATAAATATAAACTTCAGTGTTACATAAAATATAGTCACTTTTTCCTTGTAGAATTTCCATCTTTAATAACACTTTATTTTGTAAATAAAAGTTTGACAGATACTTTATTTTGAACAAACTTACACATTAGAATTAAGTTTACTTTTGATTTATGCATTAATACATTTTTGAAAGCTAGCTTCCACAGAAATAGAACAACAGTTTGGAATACAATTTAATATATTTAAAAATGAATTACATATATTTTGAAACACAGAAGAACTGTTTTGTTATTTCACAATTCCAGTTACTTTATTAGATACCATAGTAACATGCATTTAGATCTGTAAACACTTAGTAGGTTCACAGTATTTGGGTTGATAAACTAATTAGAAAAAAACTGTATTCAAGTGATAAATTACCTTTTTCTTTTATATTACAGGAAAACAACCAAAGTTTTAAGTAGCATTTTAAGAACAGATGAATTTGAAGATAAAGAATTATTCCTTTTATATTTTGGACACCTGCAAATGAAGTGGATCTATAACAATAACTGTAAAAGACTGTGACAATTCAATTTATTTTTAATTTTGATGGTTGGCTATTTGGTTTCTCTTAAAATGAGAAAGAGATATTTTAAACTATAAAGAATTTTCTAATCAGTTTCAGCTTTGCAGGCAGTTTCCTGCATAAATTGGGAAATAACACTGGAAAGTAGGAATTTGAAGTGGGAAGACTGTGTATTTATAATTTGCATGCTACTTGCAATTTTTGCTTTTCATCACTTGTAATAATGGAATGGAAATGTAAGCTGTAAAGATTCTCAAATATAAAGTCTTTGCTACAGTGTATATATGGTATATAATTTCTTAAAGTTACTGCTCCCCCACCTCACCCCCGATCTCATACTAGTGCATGAATGGATCAGTATAGTCTCTTCAGAGGCATAGAAGAATGATCTGGATGTTCAATGTATGGGTCTCAACAAAAGGAAGGAGAATTTGTTAATAGGCATTTCTTTTCAACTGTATGATTGGTCTCTGAGTTTTTGATCATAACATTGTCTAGACTCATAATTAATAGCAGAGATTGACAATTTAGAAACAATGTAGTAATGGACTGAAGTTGAAAAATAACTGCTACTTATGTTACTAATTAGACCATACAAACAGTAGAAGTTGAGTAATGGCAAAATAAAAATGGTATTTTTATTTCCCAAAAAGGAAAAAATTAGGCATTTGGAAATAATTGCATTAAGTTTCAGTTCTATAATTTTTATAACCAGAACATATGGATCAAGAATTTGGGGGTTTAAACTTTTTAATTCCAGGAAATTTTGTACAGTAAATCTCTTGTAATTTTTCACTCTGGTTACTGTTGTAAGAAGGGGAAAAAGGTTTCTTTCAGCGTAGCATGAAAAAAAAAATTGCTGATATAAAGGTAAGTATAAACTCTCTCTTTTAATCTCTCAGATTCCTGGGGCAAGACATTCAGGGCCATAATTTGTCAGAAAGTTTGTTTCACTGAATTGTCAATTCCTAAAACTAATACCTTTTTCTTCATTGGTTTTTTGGCTTGTTAACTCAGGTTCATGCTTTTAGGTCATGGTTTATTTTTTTCCTATCTTGGCCTTTCAAGTATCCTCTTTTTCATTACTTTGTTCCTCAGGAAAATTGATTGTTTTTTAAATAGGAAAAAATCTACACTAACTATAAATGTATTACTTACTTAAAAATTATATATATATATATAGGGCCCAGTGTTTTCATTTGTTTTTTGCCCTACTATATTCATACCCTAGGTTCTAGTGAATACACACACATTCATACACACAACTCTCAAAAACACACCCCCAAATGGGTAATTTATATAAGCGCTGGGGTCAGAATTGCCATATAATTAAATTGGTTTGCTTTATTATTTGCCTAGGCTCAAGTATTTTTTATTCTAATTTGAGAAATATGATAGAACTTATTCCAATTTAGAATCTAAAGAGCCCTTCCACTTAGCACTAGTACTGAGGGTGGAACTTCTTTAATGTCTCAAGTACCATACTATTTTGGAAACTACCTATTAGCCAAAGACTTTTTGATTGGACACTGAAGTGGACCAACCAAAGCAATGTTTTGATTGGCTATAATTTGTATTTATGAAACCATTTACAACCAACGTTTGGATGTCAAAAGACCCTCTGGTTTCAAAGACTTTTGATCCTTTCTTACTATATACAATCAAAGAGAGACAAGACAGTTTTCTGTTGTCTGTTTACATATCTACAGTTTGTTTAAATCATTGTACATCTCCACTAATGTACTTCTTTGCTTTGTATATAAATTAAGAGAGTTGAGCCAGGTGTTGTTTCATAGTGCTTGTGCTCCGGGTTGACCAGAGATACACACACGGCACACGTGTATATATTTAGTATATCAAAATTCACTACTTATTTCTAATAGAAACTATGAAAAAATTATTCAACTTGAATGAGGACTGAATATACAAATGTATTGGTCAGACTTGATATTTCATAAATTTGAGAAAATATTTTAGGTCAAATTTTATATTTAAGAAATAAAATTTTAGTTCAGCCTTCCTCTTTTCCTGAGTTTTCTAGCAGTGAAAAAACAGGAAAATTTTACCTTACAGTTTTTCCCCTAATTACTTGTGGTTTCAAATAAATTTGGTCTGGAGAATAGCATAGTTAACAATACAAAATTTTTTTTTTGTTGTTCCAGTTTTTGGCCAGGGCTGGATTTGAACCCACCACATTGGGTATATGGGGCCAGTGCCCCACTCCTTTGAGCCACAGGTGCCACCCAACAATACAAATATTTTTATATGTATTGCATTTTCATTCATTTTAATTAGTAGGGTTTGTGATCAGAAGAGATTTTTATTTTTAAGAATATTTAATTTCTGAGGTTGTAGAACAGACTTTATAAGATACATCTGATATTGAAACTGGAAAACAGATGTCTCCTGTCCAGTATTTTCCCTACTATTTTATGACTTCCCTAAAGTTTTTCTTGTTTTTTATCTCCCTCTATTCTCTTTTCATTTGGGTTAAAATTTCCTTTTTAAAGTATTTTGAAATCCTTATTTAAATGCAAATATCTTTTTTATAAGAAAAGTTGGCTCTTTGGGTTACACACCAATATCATAGGCCATCAAATTTGAACTAGATTTCCCCAAAGTAAATCTGTCTCTTTTTTTTCCTTGACATGTTTAACTTACATACAGGAAATTAAGATGCGAATAAATGATACAGTGTTGATATATCACCATTATATAGTAAATGATATATTATTAAGTGGTACTGTAACTTATCACAAAATTGTTCACTTCTGAAAAAACAGCTTAGAATAGAAGTTCTTTAGGTTACAAACAAGTTTGTCCTATGCTTGTGTACTAACTTTTTATGTAATGTAAAGAGAATAATCATAGGACCATGAGTTGGGGATGAAGTAGACATCACTGAGGAATAAGCTTCACTCACAGAAAATCTGTTACTTAAAAAAATCACAAAATGCTGATTTAACCCATTTTATAGTATAAGCCAGCCTATAAAGTCTGTCCTATAAAGTAATGCTCAAAAAGTTCCCAAAGACTTGATTTGCTTTTTCACAATATCATTTCTTTATGCAAACACTTTTTTTCACATATCAGGATTTTATCACTACATATTTTTAAGTTGGTTATAATAAAGCAAAGTAATTGCATCAGATATTGTGAATAACACTGAACTTTGAAAATTTAGCTAAAATTCACATTAATGATAAAGAATACATTTTAAAAGAGTGCACTTAAAGTGAATATTAATATATTAAATAAAAGTGTACAGTAGATTAACAACTACAGACATTTTAGATAAGAACACGTATTTTGTACTTGTAACCATAAAGAAAATGTCTAGTAACATCTAGTTGTTGTTTAGGATCCACCATGAAGCTGAAAAGAGAAAAACATTTTTTGAAATAACAATTTCCAGGGCAAAAACATTTCAAGGTCCAAATCATTCTGAAAGACATCATTCCCCTCACCTTTAGTCGTATAATTCCTGATCTTTCTAATCATCATTTACTATTTGAGCCAAGATTGAATAGGAGAACTGTGCAGTTGTTGTACCACATGTTTTGATACTTTGTCATAGTCTAAAATTGTTTGTTATTTATGAATAGAGCTTTTTTGTTGGCAACAAGATTATAAATACCCTGATAAAATTTTGTTGAGTTGCTTTAATCTATCCAATACTGGTAGTAGTTAGGAAATATAGAAGATAATTCTACCCATAGATTCCAGAAATATTGGTTGTGAGTGTTTGTGAATAATATTTTTAGTATATCTATATTGAAAAATTAGAAATGTTCACCCTAGAATATAAATATCCCAGAGACAAACCTATGACAAAGAAGTATGACTGGGGGAATGCTGTGAGAAACGGAGAAATGGGAAAAGGATTAAAATGTGCTTTCAAAGTTCTTTAGGTAATTTTCTGAAATAGGATCTTACTTTCTGTGTATACTCTTTTCTTATAACCATAGGCCTATTCCTAGGAACATTGTTCCCCACAGACCAAGTACTTACACTCTTTTTGTCTGGGGATTATGATGGCTAATGGACCTAGGTTCCATATTCCAGTTTCCCCATTTGAATGTTTATATTTGGGAGTTCATAAAAATATAGTTTATATTTTCTTATCTCGATAAAGTCTAGATTAGTTGCCTTATTTTTGTATCTTCAATAAAATAGTACTCTTAACAAAAAAGCAGTCTTATTTAAAATAATAATATTTGAGTGAGAGAAATGAGAAAGAAGCCTACTCATCCTGTGTTTCTATAAACCTAATAGCTGTTCTATCAGATTTTAATTTTAGTCTAAATATGTGCAGCTCTAATAAAATTTAATTGTTTTTATTTTTAAACTTCATAATCATTACCATACACAACATGCACAAAAGTCGTTATTAAAAATAGTATTAGAAGTCATATGGCCATTAAAACCCATAAATAATATGTATATATTAATTTCAGCTTGCTAGAATGTCCTGCTTTGCAACTATAAACTTTGACTTAAAAATAGAATGAGATACACAAATAAATGTTGCAATTTTGTGTGAAGTAAGTTTAAAATTTGTGTTAGAAAATCAAGCTTAACTTTTTATTCTATCAGATTTCAGTGATTAAGATTAAATGTGATATGAAAATTAATGCAAAATAGGGAAGCACTGAAAAGGCATTAATTATATTAAATCTGGGCTAAGAAAACAAGAATTGCTCCAGTTTTATTTGTGCTCAGTTTTTTCTCTCTAAATTGGGAAATGAGTAATATAATGGATATACCAATGTCATTGCTAGTGGACAGAAAGTTAGTCCAAGGTAATGAAGTAAAGTTGGGCAAGAAAACTCTATCGGGTTACTTTACATTTTCTTTTTTTTTTTTTATTAAATGATAACTATGTACATTAATGAAATTCTGGGGTACAGTGTGGGGTTTTCACATACAATTTGAAATATTTTCATCAAACTGGTTAACATAGCCTTTATGTCATTTTCTTAGTTTTGTGTTAAGACATTCATATTCTACTCTTAGAAAGATTCACTTTTACCCTTGTAAGATAAACCGTAGAAGTGATCCCTCGAATCACTCTCCCTCCACCCATTCCCCCC